CACATTTTTTGGTCAGGGATGGCTTATAAATATTTTTGCTGTTGGCGTATAAGAAAATAGGGCACCTTTTATTTTTCCATCTTACTGAAATCACTCTATACATTTTTGCTTTTTATTTTCTATTTCAAATTTGCCTGTAGTTTTAAATTCAGACATTTAGGACAATGTGCTAGAATTTACAGGTTATGCTTTAAGTAAATTAGATAATTAGTAGGCACTTACAAATTTGAGTTAGCTGTCGGTATAAACAAATTATAGTATTTTCACCCACTTTCTTCAGCCTGTATCTAAATAATCTAATTTATTCTCAAAAACTTTCATGTATCAGAGGCTCTAACCATATTTTGCCATATTATGCACACACTCATACACACACACACACACACACACACACACACACACACATATACATGCACATATAAATATATATTACATATATAAATATATATACACACACATTCACATATATTTTTTCTTTAGCAATGTAAGGGTATTGTTTGCTTCTAAAGTTGGGTTACAGAATTTTCATTTTGTGTAATAATAGCATATATTTTAAATATCAAAATTATCTCCACTTTTTAAAAATGCTCATTTATTAAAATTTCCTCATTAGCATCTTCTGTTTACGATTACGCTTCATTTTCTCTGAAATTTTACTGCTACCCAGCAGATGTGAATGATTTTAAATACCTGCCTTCCATGAGTACACACCTAGTTAAATACTGCAATTACCTAGACAGATTCTTTCTTAAAGGTACGTAAATATTGCAAACCAGATTTCATGAATAAACATTTCTCATATTGTTTTGTAATTCCATATTAGTGTGGCTTTTCAATGTAGGTTTCTTAACATCAGATTATTGTGTTTTGTTTTACTTGTGTATTATAATTGCAGTTCCATTTGTACACTTTAAGTCAATGTGGGGTTTAAAAAATAAATTAGCCATATGTCTGTTACGATCAGATTATATATGTGTGTGTTTTTATTTACAAATATGACCCCAATTTTGGTTATGGCTTATCTTGTTTATATTCTTTCTTAGCTGATTTTCAGTGGTTGTTTTATCTTGTCTAAGTAAGTAGTTATGGAAATCATCTTTTCACTGTGTGTTTAATGATGAATTTGTATTTCCTTTGTGTGAGAGAAATACTTTTATGATTTGAAGGTAACTTTTGAAAAGATTTATTATTATATATTTTTTTCAGTTTTTCTTTAAAATATTAATTGTTGTAAAACCCCATAACATAAAATTTACAGTTTAAATCTATTGAATTGTATATTTCAAGGCCAGGCATGGTGGTGGCTTACATCTGCAATCCCAGGATTTTGGAAAGCCAAGACAAAAGGATCACTTGAGCCCAAAAGTTTGAGAACAACCTGGAAAACATTGAGATTCTCTCTGTCTCTCTCTTTTTTTTTTTTTTTTTTTTT